AGATGCTTTTGATAAAAATTCAGTTGGCATGTCACACAGGACTGCATCTGTTAATCTTTCCTCATACAAACTGCAGTAACTTCATTATGAAACTATCACCTTCAACTCAAATTAATCTGTTACACCCTGTAACCAAATGTTATTTTGTCAACCCGTCTTTCACAGGCTATTTGTAATACTTTAGTTTTAATTAATTGACAAAGAGGCTTGCTGATCTGATATTTGTTAATTGTGCTCTCAGAGTAAAATGTATGAAACATGAAACTGCAGGGAGCAGATAAATTACTCGTCTCCTCGATGGCAGCACAGTCTTGTGTAAAAGGTGCTTGTGAAAAGTGGAGAGAGACCAAGAACCGAAATAACAAGTTTAAATGTTGACTGAGAGCTACTGAGTGTAAGGAAAATGGCGAGAACGTGAGCAGCACAAAGACACAGATGTGTTGTGAGTAATTTGTTTGGAGGAGAGTACAAGCCAGATGCAGAGGCATGTGCAGAAGTTGAGATGTGACCTTTCACCTGGCAGCGTGGGAGACCCAGCCGCTGGTACCCTGTCATCTTATCTACCAGCTGCAACTGACCCCGTGCAATAAGAAAAAGAAATGGTTGCTATGGTATCAAGAGATATTTTAATGATATACTCGGGGGCGTTGCTATAGAGAGACCGATTTAATGCTGCCAAAGAGTGCACCATGTCTCCATGGCTGCATGGCAATAGGTTATATGAACTGCTAGGAGTGATTAGAACAATGCTTTGTTTTAAGTGGGACCCAGGTGCTGGTGCATATTGCTTCACATTTGTGAGGATATTGCACAGAATATCACTTAGACAAGAATATCAGCTGGTTACATTAAATAAATGTAGGAAAATATATTTAATACAACACATGTTTTATTGCCAAGCATCAGACATATTTATCTTCCCTTTTCACCAGATTGATGGGGTTGGTGGAGTTTAAAACGATTAAAATGATGAGCTTTTCTGCTGCATGATGGCAACTGGACTTGCTTGAGGTGTCTGACGACATTTCTCATACAAAAATGTTAAATTTCATGGCCAAGACTGAGGCCCTTCGCAAATTTATTTTGCCACCATTAACGGATTTATATAAGTTTAACAGAGCCTAAATCCAGTTATTGTTCATGTTTGAAATATCAAGCAACACTTGTATAGGCCTATGTAGCTATTAGAATAAAAACAGCAGAATAAAAACAGCTTATGCGACAACATGAGTCACAATCACTCAGGCTAATGTGATTGATTCACATGGCGTTTGTCTGAAAATCAGAAACTGGAATTGAGCAACACTTGGTTCTATAAGTTTGTAAAAGCACCATTGGTTTGGTATTGTCTCCACAGCCTCAGCTGAAAGTCAGACTTGCCTCAACACAAGTACGTGTTAAACTCTTAGAAGTTTAGCACCTACTTCTTCTGCCTGACTTGCATGCAATATAAAATGTGCAACTCATGGTTTAATAACTGGGTACTGGTTAAACTTTGTAGTGATCACCTGATAAAATAAAACACACACTGCACAATGATAAATATACCCTATATTTATCATTGTGCCTGAAGAGAGCATGGACACATTTTATAGTTGTAATCTATTCAAAGTCTATATTTTGGATCTTACTGAAAAGCTGAAATGCTCCTCATCTGCCCAGGGTGGTATTTCCATTCCAGGAGTGTGTGGAGCACTGGAGTGTATTGAAAGAGGTCGTTTGTCACTGATTCTGTGGTTATTTTTAACCGTCCCCCGTGTGCGGGTCTAATCAGAACAGGATGTTCCTCATCAAATTAAACAGGAAATATATTTTCATCAAACGAGACTGGGTCTGTACATAGACCCCACCATGATATAGTAGACTGAGGTGAGTTACACAGGAGGGTTTCTGGGGCTAAACGCAGACCACGGTTGATTTTTGCGATTTCTCCAGAATTGGTTTAGAATTGGTAAAGGTTTATGTTTTTTTGTTTTATTTTCATAATCCGGAGATAACCCAACCAAAATGTCATATTTGTATATTAAT